AACTTTGCTGATATGAAAGGTCAGTTTTCACCAATGTCAAAACTTACTCATCTTTGAAAAGGGGGAAAACCCTTTTCTTTTTGTTATCAGATTCCTTAAGGAATCGGGAAAGAGCTTTCCAGATCCATGTCTGATAGCCACTGAGTGGCATTGCCTAGTGTCCCCCTTGGAAATGTTCTATGCTAACAGATCACCAGGGAGCTGAGCTGAGGCTCTGGGTCTTTGACTTTCTCCTGCCTGAAGGTTTTCGTTCCCTGGATATTCATGGAGGAGTTGGAGGTGCTTGTCCTTCTCCTTGTGTTTAATACCTTTTTGCACAGGTGGGCAAGTATGCAGACTTTGCAGTTAGAAAGCCAGAGTGGGAGGCCTGACACTGCTGCTTACTACCTTTGTGGCCTTGAGCAAGTTACTTCAGTTTTCTCATATGTAAAGTGGAAATTAAACTACCTAACTCTTACTTGCTCTGAGATTTGATGTAAGTATGAAGTGCCGGCACATAATAGTGTTCCCTAATTGTTAGCTACAGGTAATATATGTGTATATACATATAAAGTCCTTGTCATTACTTCCCATGTTTTATCATCTGCACTAAACTTCCCTAATGCCAGACTTGCAGAAGTGTTGTACAGCAATGCTTTTCTCTCTGGAGTCATCATTCTGTGAATTTGAACATCACTCTTGGTTTCTACCGACCACCCCAGTGCTGGTGCCATCTTTTTTCCTATGAGAAAATCACAATGAAAATATAAAATAGGCAAGTGAAGTGATATCACATGTTCTCTTTTACATTTTAATTCAGCTGAATCTCTTCGATAGGACAATTTATATTTTAGTGAAAGTTTAATTTTCAAATTTATGAAAATATAATGGTCTTAGAAGAATATCGAAGGAAGAGTTGCTGTAATTCTTTGTTGGATCCTAAGAACACTAAATCATTCTTGTCCTCAAATGGATTAAAATCTCTTTGGTGAAAGGAAACATGCAGATAAGAAAGGCAAGGTTGATCATGGTGCCGAAATATCAAGAGTATAGGTGTTAAGACAAATTAAGTGAAGGAGGACATTCTTCTAGGCTGGTATCATTTCAAAGCAGGTAAACCCTGAGCTCAGCCCTTGATTGATGTGTAGGATTTAATTTGGTATATATTCTCAAAAAGGGCTTTCAGTGAAAGTGGGAGAATTTTGATGGTGGGAAGATATACTGTGGAATCAAGGGAGCCCCTGGCTTGATCAGTCCCTCCACAACCACCCCAGCCCCCAGCATCTTTTTAGTCAGTAACCAGCTCTGTGTTTGTGTGTTTATGCCTTTTTCCCCCTCCAAAAGTCTCTAAGATTTATTTGACCTGTTTGCCTTTTTCATGAAACACTGTACTCTTCTTTTCCCACCTCATTTATTTTATAGAACAGGACACAGATTCCCTATGCTTTCCCTGGTCTGTTGTTTCAGAAACAGAAATGCAAGTCAAGTTCTTAAAAAGAGGTTATTACTGCAGTCGGGAAATAAAGATTAACAAGAAGAACAAAAAGAATTACAAAAATCGTATTAAAATGGCTGTGGCAGGTTGCTACTTGATAGGGGCGTTCTCATGACCTGTCTTCAAGATACTCTTGTGGGAGCTCTTCTAGTTCTCATCTTAGGTCTCTGGTCTCTCAGCTCCCTGCTGCAGCAGACCAAGACCCCCTGGCTACAGTTATCTGACTGGGCCCTGCTTCCAGATGTGCTGTGATCCTCAGTTCTTTTTAAAATTGCCTTCCTGGTCTCTTCTGGTGTTCCCCCTTCCTTTTGTTGCTTAGGCTGTACTGTTCTTCACTAGTGATCTTCAGCAGCTTGTCCCAACATTCTTGGGCCCTGGAGCCTGAACTGAGATGGCCTGTAAGCCACAGTTAGGCTCCAAAGATTCTTCCCTTAAGCTTTACATCATCAAAACTGACCCAAGCCTTGCCCATTTCCTCCTTTGCAGGAAGGTCTCTTTGGCCTTGAACCAGAGGTCTTCCTAGCATATATGGGACCCTGGAAATGAGAACTATCATCTTCATTTATTTTATTTTGCAGTTCTTCTATAGCATTTTGAATGTCTTAGGCACATTCTGAGTACTTTCAAAAATTAACTCGTTTAATCCCAGAGGGAGATTGCTAACATTCTGTTTCCACTGGTTTCAGCCCCTTGAAGACTCATTTCTTATGCTTCAGACTTTTGCTCCCAACAGATACTTTAGTGGGTATCTGTTTAGTTTTGGGGCACCTCTAATTATTCAGAGTTTTGGAAAAGCATTTTATACTGTTAGTCTTCGTTCAGGTTACCAGCTTTACCCACTTTTTTGACCAGTTTCAGTATCAGAATTTAATACCTATAACATATACTGACCCATTAAGAAAAACAAAATAAAACAATGCTTTCTTTTAACTAGATAAGGCTGGTGGTTTATTTTTCATTATTTTAAATGTAGTTTATTTTTCATTATTTTAAATGAAAAAAATAAAGTATGGGTTAACTAAAACCCCTAATCAACTTACTGAAATGTAACTAAGTACAGTGAAATGCCTAAATAAATTACAGAATATCTATTACATTAGGATATAAATTGTTTAAAATTCACTTCTTTATCATCAAACAATATGATTTTTAACAAACAGTTGCTATATCTGTAGCAACATCCACATGTTGGTACCAGCAATATCTAAGCAGCATGTCCATTTTGTTGACATTCAGAAATTTTCAAAATAACAAACTCTGACTCTAATGATCTAACGGTTTTATTTGGAATGTGACCTGAGCCTTTTCTCACTCACCATTTTGTTAAACATATTTTTAATTTAGGGAATTTAAATACAAATTTTTCTTACATAAACATTGCAACCTCCCCTGGCCCCCAAACTTACATTGAGAGGTACATTCTCAATGTTAAGTGTGGGAGCCTGGGGCGGAGGGTGGGGGGCGGGGGTGCGACCTAGATAGTAAAAGCTAAAAGGTCTTCTAACCAGAAGTGTATTAACCCAGGAGATAGTCTATGTAATATACTTATAAGTGACTATTGTAAAATTAAAGTAGATGTTTTAAGAGCTAAATGTAAATAATGGACTTTACATTATTTCATGACTTTGGAATGACCTGTGGTATTATTCTTCAGAGTAGACAAGAAAAACTGACATTTGTCTGTGCTAAGGTATTTGAATGGACAGTCTTTGAGTAGGTTTATTCCCAAATGTGATTTTAAAAAGTCAGCTTTATTTTCTTTTCATTTAATTATCTTAAATGCAAAGTTTTTAGTTGAAATTGTAATGATCCTGTGTTAACTATCTTTTCCTAATCGATGAAATTATGTTTAGAGCTTGAAGAAACGGTTTAAAAGCACTTTTAACAACATTGCCTGGCTCTTCTCATTTGCCAGTTCCCTTTTATAGACTCCTGTTCCCAGGGGGTATTTTAATTTTTTAAAGATAGTAAACATAGTTGTTTCTTATGCTGACTAATATAGTTACAATAACTGAAATATTTGTGGATCTGTTTCTGCTGATTCTTACTCTTAGTGGCTTTTTTTCTTGTGTATTATAGGTATGTAAGGTTTTTTGTTTTTATGTTTATTTTTGTTTTAGCTTTTTCTCCTGTGATCTGCTCATTCTTTTTTTTTAGCATAGTCTTGGGCACGTAGAAACACTCAGCACAGAGGCTGTGATATTTCTCAGTATCCCATTTTTTTTTTTTTTATTGCATTTTAGGTTTTGGGGTACATGTGCAGAGCATGCAATACAGTTGCATAGGTACACACATGGCAGTGTGTTCTGTTTGCTTTCACCCCTTCACCCACATTTGGCGTTTCTCCCCAGGCTATCCCTCCCCGATCTGCTCATTCTCAAAAATTATTTGTAGGGATTATTTGATACCTAGATTAAGAGTGTCTTCTCCAGATGGTAGTTATGTTTGCTTCTGCCAGATGCCTGTGAGTGCCTGAGACCACCTCCCACCAAGATCAGAGATTGGGGTCTCTGGATCACTAAGGTTAGGGGAGCCCAGGCTGCAGATCCAGGAGGGCTGCCTTATGGCCAGTTTTTCTGAAACCAGTTTGTTTTCTCTTCCCTCTTCTGCTTCATGGCCAAGAGTAACCTCCCTTCAGTCCCAGGTTGCTGGGAGGGATTACTTTTCGTTCATCTTTGTGAGTTGGGATCTCAGCTTACTATATGAGTATGTGACTTCGGCATTCTGTGGCCCCACTTCTCATTTCTGTTTTATTCTAGATTTTGCCCTGGTTATTTCTTATTATCCTGTGACTCTTGTTTTTAAGATTTATTTATTTTTTCTACTTTATCTGTTATCTTTGGTTGTTTTCTCTTTTTTTGAGACAAAGTCTCGCTCTGTTGCCCAGGCTGGAATGCAGTGGCACGATCTTGGCTCACTGCAACCACTGCCACCAGGGTTCAAGCGATTTCCAGCTAAATTTGTAGTTTTAGTAGAGTTGGGGTTTCACCATGTTGGCCAAGCTGGTCTTGAACTCCTGACCTCAAGTGATCCACCCGTCTCAGCCTCCCAAAATTCTAGGATTACAGGTGTGAACCACCATGCCCAGCCACTATCTTTGGTTGTTTTTATTAGGAAGATTGGTCCAAATAATCTAGCTCACTGTTTATAAATAATCTTCCCTATTTGCCCTTTAGTAATCCTTCACGGTTTATGCAGCAGATATAAGACTGAGCTGCTGTAATGGATGAGGGAACTGAGGCTGGGAGAGGTAGTGATTGATGTAAGATCATATAAGCGAGGGTGCAGCCTGGAACTCCTGAATAGAAGTCTTCTTTCCAACCTGCCACTCCCTGTGAGCTGTCTTCTACTGAATGTATTAGAATTTTGAATGAAGCACCATATGGTAAGGGAATTTTTTTTAAAAAGATGTAATAGCTCTACAAAATTATTTAGACATTGACCAATGTAGATTATATTGATGTAACTTTTTCCAGATATGGCATTTGAAATGGAAAATAATAATTGCTTTTTTTTTTTCTTTCAGCTGAAGTGAGTAGTGAATATAGTATGGACAAGGCAATGGTTGAATTTGCTGTAATGGATCGGCAACTAAACCATTATGTAAAGGCTGTTCAATCTACGATAAATCATGTAAGTTTATGCCACTCACTGGTTATATATTTGATTATAAATGCACTGACCGAGAAATAGAAACACAAAATCAAAATTCTTCTCTATCCTTTAATGTTTTCTTATCCTTAGTGTAGCAGCTATTAATTTCCTCTAATTTGGAAGTCTCATAAAATTGGAATTCTAAATATTTTCCTGGAAAATATTAAATCTATTTTTTTGTCTCAAAATTTTAGTTAAGCCTTCTTTGAATGTGAATAGATTTTTATAAAAATGCTAAAAATTGCATGCAACTTGTTTTTATTGTTATTTGCTTAAGTCTAAAATTGAGGCCAGATTTAGTTACTCATTCTCTAATTTTAACTAATACACATCTATTGCCAAATTCTTAGAATCAGGTAATAAGGAAGGTTTTAGAGCAAGTTTAAAAATAAAGAAGATCAGTATTTTGGTTTTTCCAGCAGCCAAACTTATCTTTGTTGACTCCAGCTGTCACAGGAACCACACATGAGACAGTTAAGGTGGGAACATGGCAACATCCTTTTCAGTAGTACTGTGTTGAGTAAGAAATGAGCAATACGATTGCAGTAATGTTTCTGAGAAGTCCTTTGTCCTCTGAGCAGTGGAAACTCCCTGTTGAACTGATTTTGTATACCTGTGTAATAGGGTGTCTTGTATTTCTGGTTTCTTTATTTGCCTTTTCTTACTTACAGCTATGGGAAAATTCCAAAAATCAAATATTTTACAAGATCAGCAACTACTCAGTGTAAGATACATTTTTAAATAATGTTTAATACCTAAGCCAATGAAATGAGCATTATATAGTTATAGTAAGCTTTGTTTTCGTTCCTTTTTTTTTTTTTTTCTGAGACAGAGTCTCACTGTGTCACCCACAGTGGAGTGCAGTGGCACCATCTCGGCACACTGCAACCTCCACCTCCCGGATTCAAGCAATTCTCTGCTTTAGCCTCCCGAGTAGCTGTGATTACAGGCATCCACCACCATGCCTAACTAATTTTTGTATTTTTAGTAGAGACAGGATTTCACCGGCTTGGCCAGGCTGGTCTTGAGCTCCTGACCTTGCGATCCACCCACCTCAGCCTCCCAAAGTGTTGGGATTACAGGCATGAGTCACCGTGCCTGGCCAGTGAGCTTTTTTTAATGGTTTGTATTTAAGTATAGTATTTGACTAACTTTCAGAATATCTCCTTATATCCAAGTAATAAACTCATTCAGCTTGTAAAATTTTGATATTTCTGGCTATTGTGACTGTTAATCCTGGTCTTATAAATATTTCTTCCATAGGAAAATATGACAGTGCCGTCATGTTGACATCATATTTGAAACTGAATAGCACTAAGACTAGAGGCTTTCCATTTCAGCTGAACCCTAGAACCAGCCAGTTTCTGAACTCTCAGAGATTCTGATTTCATTAATCTGGAGCAGCAGTATTTTTTAGAAACTCATTCTAATATGTATTCAAGGGTGAAAACCACTGTCTTAAAAGAATAAGACAAATGTTTACTACCAAAGATTAGAGTTAGTGCTGTTATATGGATCAGTCTCGCTTTGAGCCTTACATTCTGTGGAGCTTACAATAAGGCTTTCTATCTTTAACTTTATACTGTGCAAATGCAGTAGCACAGTGGATATTATAGATAAGAAAAGAAGATTTTTCATGAAGTCAAAGAACTTTATGTTGTTTTTTTTTTTCCTATTAAACTCTAGAATTTACAGATACTTAAAGTATTTTTACCTAAAGAATTGAACTCTTGGCTGGGCATGGCGCCTCACGCCTGTAATCTCAGCACTTTGGGAGGCCAAGGTGGACAGATCCCCTGAGATTCCTAGCCAACATAGTAAAAGCCCATCTCTACTAAAATACAAAATTAGCTGGATGTAGTGGCATGCACCTGTAATCCCAGCTACTCAGGAGGCTGAGGCAGGAGAACTGCTTGGACCCGGCAGGCAGAGGTTGCAGTGAGCTGAGATCACATCACTGCACTCCAGCCTCTGTGACAGAGCAAGATTGTATTTAAAAAAAAAAAAAAAATTGAATTCTTTCCCCTTCAGGACATCGAGTCACTCATTTAAAAAGTTTAAAAATTCTCACCCTTTCCCACACTCAATAGTTAACAACATTTATTTTATCTCCGTTTTCAGCCCTAACCTTAGACTAGAATAGACTGGAACAACTTGGATTTAGTGATTCCAATGCTTGTCAGGAAGGTCCCTGGTCTTTTATAGGAAGAAAAACATTTTTCTTTTATGATGCAAAGGTATGCTCTCTAAGCAAGCTGGCTACCAGACCAAGAATAATAAATCATCATTTCATAAGGTTTCTAAGACTTGACATTATATGTGGACATAATGGACATATGACCATTATTTTGAGGGAAATGTTTTGCACCACTGTATGTTCTTGAAGCTAAGGGTACTGCTATCTTATTGCTTGTTTTGGTGAGGGATAAAGAGTGAACAGCGGCTTGGGAGGGGCAAGGATGATACAATTGTTCAGAAACAGCAATGATCTAGGGATCTGAAGCTTTTCCAGCCCTGGTTCTTCTACTTTCTGAGTTATGATCCTCGATCAAGAAACCTAACCTCCTGAAACCTCATGTTCGTTGTCTGTAACATTCCTCCCTGTGTATTTCACAGAATGATTATGTGAATCAGATTAGATAATGTATAACAAAACACTTTGGCATTCATAAAATTTGATAGGGCTATAAGATAACATATTATTGCAAATTCAGATTTCCAAACAGAACTCCTTAGAGAGATGGATCAAAACCTTCTAAAAAGCAAGTGTTTCGTTTTGCTTGCTTTATTTCAGGGTATTTTTTTTTGGCTTTGACCTGTCGTATTCTGGAATTCAAGAGTTATATAGGATTAAGTGTAAGCTACTTAAGTTATTGCACGGGTGTTTATGGCCTCTAAAGTGAATGAGTTGTTTTAAATAAATATTTTTTTAAAAGGCACATAATGGGAACCCATACAAGTCCCATTTAACCCACTGCTCTGTCATAGACTTCTACAAGCCGTGATACTTCCATTACTGTAATATGTGCCTAGATTTGGATCTACCCTGTGGTCTTTCTGTTCATGAATTTTTACATAGTCATAGAAAGTTGATTTTAAAACTTTTATAATCTTTAAAGAGCGCTCGAGTTTATTATTTAAATAGACATCTCTCCCACCCTCATCTTCGCAGAATTCTGAAGATTATGCTCCTTTTGAAAAAGTTTTGGAAGTTTACTTTGGAACCTTAGAGCTGTGGGTCACCTTACCAACAATCCCTGGAAAGTCCCTTTGGCAATTAGCAGAAGCTCTCAGATTGCCTTCCATTGTCTATCAAGAAAATAGAGCTCCTATAGTCCGCAGTGCCTGAAGATTTTATTTGGTATTGGCATCTATTTTAGTGCTTTGAAACTTAGGGGGGGAAAAAGGGACTTCATTCTGGCTAATTTGTTGAGAGAATATTACAAAGTGAATACTTACATTCTCATAAGTCATTTATAAAAACTTTCAGGTTAAATGGGTTATATACCTGTCACAACTCTTTAAAAACTTCATTTAGATCCTCAGAGAGTTCTATATGAACTTTTTCGATATTTTCAGCCATCAGACTACACGTCATAAAAGTGTTTTGAGAGCTGTAAGATGGTACACAGATACATACTTTTTTAAAATCACTATTACAGCCACGGAAAAACTCTTTTTTTAGTTTCATATTGAGAACAGTGATGTTCTGAACACTAACTAGGCTTCTGATGACCTAATGTTTCCTCCCTTGCTTCCTGTGCTTTTATTCAGTACATTGAGGAGACACTGTTGGCTGGCGTTTTGTTTTTGAGTTTTCATAAATAAATGAATAAATTTATGAACATTTGAATAAATGTTCAAATAAATGTTGGAACAAATATTTACTGAACAGCCATGTGCCAGGCACTTCTAGTTGCAAGAAATAGGAAATCAGAAGGTCCATATGACCTCACCTCAGGATATTTGAAGTACAGAACAGGACAAATATTTTACAAATGTTATTTAATTACTGTTGTGGTGTGTGCTACAAATTAAAAAAGCATTCAGGGAAAGTTAAGAACTCAGTGGGCAATAATGTCTTTGGGGCAGGGAAGAATTGGGAGACCCCTTCTGGAGGAAATGATATTTAAGATGCAAGTCAGATGAGTCTCAACATGGGGAGTATGATATATTCTGTGACTTTTGCATGAAATGGAAGCACCTTATTTCTGATTGTCATGATGTTAGTTTCAGAGTGCCTTAATCAATCAAAGACTTATTGTGAAAATTAGCCCAGAGAAGGCCTACCTTTATATATAGAAAGTTAATGTTTATAGAATAGTTGAGTAACCTATCTAAGGTTGGTCAGTGATTCATTTATTAATAGATTTTTTAGTGCCTGCTATGTGCCAGGAACTATGCTTAGTAATGCAAGTCATGGCAGTAGTTGAATTAAGAATTCTTTCTTTTTTTTTTTTTTTTTTTTGAGATGGAGTCTCACTCTATTACCCAAGCTGGAGTGCAGTGGCACGATCATGACTCACTACCACCTCCACCTCCTAGGTTCAAGCAATCCTCCTGCCTCAGCCTCCAGAGTAGCTGGGACTACAGGCATACACCACCATGCCCAGCTAATTATTTTTGTATTTTTAATAGAGACAGGGTTTCACCATATTGGCTAGGCTGGTCTTGAACTGACCTTGTGATCTGCCCACCTCGGCCTCCCAGAGTGCTGGGATTACAGGCATAAAATTATTTCATTATTAATATTCTACTTCTTAACAGGTGTTTTCTCTCGTGAAATGAGACTTTTTACTGAATATTGAATAAACCCAGTGGTAGCACTGTGTGTTTCTGATTATGTGTTTATGATTATTTTAAACTAAACCTATAGTTCCAAACTGTGGGCTTCAAAGTGCTCAGGGTAGGTTTGGAGAGTGAACACCAGTTTAGTTCAGGGAATCCTCACATCTATTTCTAGGTATGTGCTTTTTCAAGTAATAGATGACAAATCCAACCATTATCATGGGAGTAGTCCTTGCAATGTTTTTATAACCTTAATTCTCACAGGGAAAATGACGGCTATGTAGCAAAATGAGAATGACCCAGCAAGTTCAGAGATTAGTGTCATATATATTTAGCAATTGATGATGAAATATACACCCTCTCAGCTAGATGTGTTGGCACAAGCCTGTAGTTCCAGCTACTTGAGAGGCTGAGGTAGGAGGATCGCTTGAACCCAGGAGTTTAAGACAAGCCTGGACAACATAGCAAGACTGTATCTCTTAAAAAAAAAAAAGTATACATCCTCTCATGATTTTGGTGGCCAGTATAGTCTCCGAGTTTAACAAAAGTAAAGCTTGAGAGTCACATTATACTTCAGTGTCTATTGTTTTTATTACGATCTTTAATTGTGTAGTTTTACTTTAAGAAATTTTATCTCTTAAAAGCATTTTCAAAAAGATGTTTCAAAAAAAGAATTTTCAGACTTTACCTATATATTATTCTTTTGGTATTTACTGCTTCTGGACGTTAATTTATTGGAAAATCTAAGTATGTCTTCCCTTTCCTCTAATACCGTCTTTTATGTTACTTGCATCTTATAGATTATATAAGATTTTAAAGCATTAATATTGGATTACAGCCACATATTTGTTTTTGTTCTTTAAGTCAGTGTTTTATAGCAATTCCTACCAGAAGCCTGGTGAGGGAGAATATTTTTCTTCTTAACTGGAGCAAGTAGGTGCTAGATTGGTCCATTTGTATTGCTTTTTGTAAATTGGTTCATGGGTATGCCCCATGGAGTGTGGTTTTTCACTTGATATGATAACCTGAACATTTCATATACCTTTTAAAACTAATATGTTGAGAGTTAGAAGAGAAGAAATGTATTTGATGTATGCTGTTGAAACTAAAGCAATCTTAGATGTCATAAAGGAACATAGTGGGTCAAGGGTAGAGTTTATCTCAGCTCTGTCATTATGCAGCCGGTTTTGACTGTTTTTGACATAGCACTTCCCTGTGCCTCCTTGCTGTTCACCCTTCATCACCTGGTAAGTTGTGCCTTTTGCTTACTGTACGCTTACCTTAATACCCACTGCTTTAACGTAAAATCCTAGAGGGTAGCTTGCAGGTTGGAAGTTACCATTTTACTTTGGGAAGAATTTCTCCCTTCAAAAGCTAATAATTTATTTTATAGTGTCTGAAAGCAGTTCTAGGCCACAGGATATAACCTATTATATATGACCGCTTACTGACTGAATATAAGAATACACCCCACTCTATTAGGCATTGTGAATCATTGACAAAATAAGAAGGATGGGGAAATTCATTCGGTGGCTGTAAAATTTGAGAACAGAAGATTCCTGAGCATGAGATAAATTGCTGTTGTCAGCAGAATAGCAAGAAAGTAAGAGGTGACAGGAAAGTGAAATTAGTGAAAGTTCTTCGAGCCATAGGGGAAAGTACTGGGAGACTCACCTCTTCTCTACTCTCTGCATCTGGCATTCTACAGTGACGGAAACTCTTACATCTTTCTTGTCAAGAATTTTTAAATGAGTTATATATGAACCTTTTCATCTATAGGAACATTGCCCAGGTGTGCAAATTAACCAAAGAAAGTTGACTGTAGGTATTCACTCTTCAGCCACTTGGAATGTGTCTATTTCTGTGATTACTGGTAATTAACTTCGATTTCAGTGGTTCAGAACTTCCTGTATAGGTATTCTCAAATTAAGGTTGTGTTTGGTAATGTTTTGCCATTTTGCCTAATAAACAGAGATAGAGACAATGAGTTCCGAATATAGTGTTCCACTAATTGAATTGCCTCTGTAAAAAGAATCTAGATATAAAATGTCCTAGGTTACCAAGTAATATAGCTCCTAATAGGTGAAAATATGTTATATTGAGACTGATTTTCAGGTTATTTTATAGAAATCCATCTTAGTGTTTTAGAGTTATTAAATGTTGAGTTTTAATCAGAATTATGAACAGTTGCACTTTACTGGGCCTTAACATGCCTCTAGTGTAGCATTTTCAATAGTTTGCTCCATAATACTAATTAATCAGGATGTGAATAACTGTAATAGGACGATAGGATTTTGTGGTCAAATAAGTTTGGGGAATGCTTGATTAAAGGAATTTCCTTAAAGACTCCAAAGCCTTTAATGTGCTTTTATGCAACGTGATTCTCCCAAGAAAGAGGATATTCAGAAATTTTATAAACTTAGTTAACTAGAAAATCTCTCTGGAGGAGGGACTGATATTCTTCAGAACCTACTTTGGGAAGTGCTGCTGTAGTTTCAGCCCCTAATTTTACGAAGGAGGCTATAAAATAGGTCCAGCAGTCTGTGTTAGAGTTTTTGTGACATCCAGAAAAGTGAGGAGTATGTCAGGCTCCCTCCTGATATGACCCTTAAAAATGTTTTTAATTTTTTTTTTTTTTTTTTTTTTTTAGGTGGAGTTTCACTCTTCTTGCCCAGGATAGAGTGCAGTGGGGCAGTCTCGGCTCACTGCAACCTCCACCTGCTGGGTTCAAGCATTTCTCCTGCCTCAGCCTCCCAAGTAGCTGGGATTATAGGCACCTGCCACCAATGCCTGGCTAATTTTTTGTATTTTAGCTGGGGTTTCACCATGTTGGGCAGGCTAGTCTCAAACTCCTGACCTCAGGTGATCCACCCGCCTCATCCTCCCAAAGTGCCGGGATTATAAGCGTGAACCACTGCGCCTAGCCCCTTAAAGATGTTTTTATCTTTAGGGTCAGGAAAGGGCCTTTCACTGTTGCACTCCTCCAACAGTGAAAAAGAGGAAGGGACAGCTTTTAAAAACATGCTGTGATTGCTTAGTCTGTGTTTGAAGCAAAGAAGACCCCTTCGTGCAGTGATGATACGAGAAAGAGGAGAGAAGGAAATGTTTGAGAGGAAACAAAGAGAGGGGCGTACAGAAGAGGCAGGAGACAGCAGCAGCAGCAGAATGGGTAGGAAATGCCTATAGACCTTTGAAGGGCCTGGTTCACCACAGCACTCCAGGTAGGCACTAAGGTGCCCAGTGTGATTATTAAACACTTTAGCCTCGGTGGCACTAGGCCATCCTAGCAGCTAGTTCTTTAAAGTACCCAAATAATGTGAATGTTTTGTAATACAGCAAACTCCTGGTTATTTCTGACATTGGACACAGTCCACATACAACATCAAACCCTTATTTTAGATCATCAATTTAGCCTCCTTCCATCCTCACACTTTTCATGTAATTAATAAGTTACATGGTGAGGTTTAGGCCTTTCCCCCACTAACTGGCAGTGGTGCTGAATGGGCCAACTGCAGAAGAGAGATGGGAAAATCGACTGAACTGGGTAATGGATCAGCAAATGTGAAAATTCAGCGTAAATTCATGCATTTTCCGGCGTGGCATTGAAAGCACAGTAGTCACTGCTTGTCCACAGTTTCACTTTCCACTATTTCAGTTATCTGTGGCCACCTTTGATCCAAAAATATTAAATGGAAAATTCCAGAAATAAACAAATAAATAAGTAGCACCTCGTTCTAAGTAGTGTGATGATATCTTTTGCCCTGCTGCTCTGTCTTGTCTTTATCACAAGAGGAAGAATGAGTACAGTACAATAAGATATTTTGAGAGCAAGAAAGATGTTCACATAACTTATTGCAATATATTATTATAATTGTTCTATATTCTTAATAGTTGTTGTTAATCTCTTGCTTTGCATAATTTATAAATTGAACTTTATCATAGGTATATATGTATAGGAAAAAACATAGTCATACAGTCATGAATCACGTAACAATATTTCAGTTAAGGGGACCATACGTAACAATGGTGGTGCCATAAGATTAAAATATTGTATTTTACTGTACCTTTTCTATGTTGACTAGTGTTTAGCTGCTTAAATAGTAGTCTTGTTGCAGTTGCCTATAGTATTCAGTTTAGTAACATGCTGTACAGGTTTGTAGCCTAGGAGCAATAAGCTTACTATACAGCCCAGGTGTGTGGTTGGCTCTTCCATCTAGGTTTGTATAAGTATACTCCGTGGTGTTCCACAGCATTGCCTCATTTCTCAGAAAGTATCCCTGTCGTTAAGCAGTGCGTGATTGATTATACAGGGTTTGGTACTATCTGGAGTTTCAGGCATCTTCTGGGGGTCTTGGAATGTATGTTCTGTGGATAAGGGGGACTACTGCAATTGCTTATTAGTCTCTTAGTTAAATTATTCAGTTGGCAGATCACTTGTGGGCTGGACTTCAAGACCAGCCTGGCTAACATGGTGAAACCCCGTCTCCACTAAAAATAACGAAAATTAGCTCTGTGTGGTGGCTTGCGCCAGTAGTCCCAGCTACTTGGGAGGCTGAGGCAGGAAAATTGCTTCAACCCAGGAAGTGGAGGTTGCAGTGAGCCATGGTTGCACCCTGCACTCCAGCTTGGGTGACAGAGTGAGACTCTAGTCTCAAAAAAAAAAAAAAAAACATGTTCAGTTGGTGCCAGTAGTATGTTTAGTCCAAGAAAGATACAAAAGCCTCGGGCATCACACTACCGGATTTCAAACTATACTACAAGGCTACAGTAATCAAAACAGCATGGTACTGGTACCAAAACAAAGATATAGACCAATGGAACAAAACAGAGGCACCGGAGGCAACACAACATATCTACAACTATACAATCTTTGATAAACCTGACAAAAAAAAGCAAGGGGGAAAGGATTCCCTGTTTAACAAATGGTGTTGGGAAAACTGGCTAGCCATGTGCAGAAAGCAGAAACTGGACCCCTTCCTGACACCTTACACTAAAATTAACTCCAGATGGATTAAAGACTTAAACATAAGACTTGGCACGGTAAAAACCCTAGAAGGAAATCTAGGCAGAACTATCCAGGACATAGGAGTAGGCAAGGACTTCATGAACAAAACACCAAAAGCATTGGCAACAAAAGCCAAAATAGACAAATGGGACCTAATGAAACTCCACAGCTTCTGCACGGCAAAAGAAACAGTCACTAGAGTGAATCAGCAACCAACAGAATGGGAAAAAATTTTCGCAGTTTACCCATCTGACAAAGGGCTGATATCCAGAATTTACAAAGAACTCAAACGGATTTACAGGAAAAAAACAAACAAGCCCATTCAAAAGTGGGCAAAGGATATGAACAGACACTTTACAAAAGAAGACATATATGAGGCCAACAATCATATGAAAAAATGCTCATCGTCACTGGTCATCAGAGAGATGCAAATCAAAACCACATTGAGATACCATCTCACGCCAGTTAGAATGGCGATCATTAAAAAATCTGGAGACAACAGATGCTGGAGAGGATGTGGAGAAAAAGGAACACTTTTACACTGTTGGTGGGAGTGTAAATTAGTTCAACCATTGTGGAAGACAGTGTGGCGATTCCTCAAGGCCTTAGAAATAGAAATTCCATTTGACCCAGCAATCCCATTACTGGGTATATATCCAAAGGACTATAAATCGTTCTACTATAAGGACACATGTACACGAATGTTCATTGCAGCACTGTTTACAATAGCAAAAACCTGGAATCAACCAAAATGCCCATTGATAATAGACTGGATTGGAAAAATGTGGCACATATACACCATGGAATATTATGCAGCAATCAGAAATGATGAGTTTGTGTCGTTTGTAGGGACATGGATGAATCTGGAGAACGTCATCCTCAGCAAACTGACACAAGAACAGAAAATGAAACACCGCATATTCTCACCCATAGGCGGGTGATGAAAAATGAGAACACATGGACACAGAAAGGGGAGTACTAAACACTGGGGTCTATTGGGGGGAAAAGGGGAGGGCCAGTGGGAGGGGGAGGTGGGGAGGGATAGCCTGGGGAGAAATGCCAAATGTGGGTGAAGGGGAGAAGCAAAGAAAAGCACACTGCCATGTGTGTTCCTACGCAACTGTCTTGCATGCTCTGCTCATGTACCCCAAAACCTAAAATCCAATAAAAAATTTAAAAAAAAAAAAAAAAGATACAAAAGCCTCTTAGACACACGTACATAAATAGCTACAAAATGATTTTAACCGTAAAATAGTTTGACAGAGACAATAAAAACATGCATAGGAAATTGAGAGTAAGGGGAAAGAGTTTTTGCTTAAATTCTGGCTTTCGTGCACTCTAACTCTGAGCCTCAGTTTCTTCTGAAAGTAGGGATAGTAGTTTAGGTCGTAGAGTTCTAGTAAGGATGCAAGTGATAGCATAAAGGCACCTAAAATGGTTCTGTCACACTAATTTATAAGGTTGCCTAGAACGTTCTGTAAAGGAGAACTCATTTCCCTGGGCCAGCTTCAAATAATATCTGGAAGGGAAGTTTGAGTTCAAGTTTGGAGGGTAGAGTGGGCAGCAGGAAACCATCGGGAAAGCCCGGAAGTGATGCTCCTTGAGAGGCTGAAGGAAAAGCCTCTTTCCTCGGAAGGGAGTTCTCTGGTATTTGGGGGTGGACTGGGGTGTGGAACTTAGTACTCGCAGTCAGTGTTGTGACCAGAAAGCATTGTTCAGAATCAGGGGAACTGGGCCAATGCAGAGGCCAGTGAACAACGTGACATGTGGCCTGATAGTCACCCTACCTGTAACAGTGAAAAAGATGCCACGCCCTTTAATATGTGCTCATTAATTGTGACAAGGGGGTCATTCTAGAGCTATGAAATGACCCCCAGACAACAGAGTAAACATTCACAGGTTTTAATTCAGGAATCACTTTTAATGTTTTCTTAGACATTTAAGTGAAGACAGAGGAAATGCAGCTTTAAAATTGATTGCTGTCTGGTCTGGGCACGAGTACATAAGCATGCTTGCTTACATTTTTATTAGATACTCTTACTTCCATTTTTAGGTAATTTTTATTTACTTTATCGGTAACATTCATTTGAAAAAGTAATTGGGAGAGAATCGTGTTGGATTTATTCCCCTGCTATACAGGTTGTCAGCTCTTGTTCAAGTGTGTGATCTCTATACATTGTTGACAAGTGAGAGAGCGAGAAGGATATAAATGGAGAGTATGTGAATGGATTTTATTTTTTCAAGCTCCTGTGTGAATTTGCAGCTGGGTTGTGAGGCAAAGTTCTTTCATTTTACAGTGGAGCCAGTGCCCAGTGAACTGTCTTTTTGAGCAGTATAAACTTTCTTTTTTTTTTAAATTGTATTTTGGGCTCTGGTGTACATGTGCACATCCAGCATCCTGCAGGATTGTTACGTAGGTACATACATGCCATGGTGGTTTGCTATCTCCATTCCCCTGTCCCCGCTTCCGTCACCTGCATCAGGCATTTCTCCCGGTGTTATCCCTCCCATCCTCTCTGCCCCCGTACTCTCCCTCCCCTCCAACCCCCCACTTAGCCCAATGACTGTTGTTCTCTTCCCTGTGCCCAAGTGTTCTCATTGTTCTTCATCCACCTATGAGTGAAAACATAGGGTGTTAGGGTTTCCGTTCTGGTGTCAGTTTGCTGAGAATGATGGTTTCTAGATTCATCCATGTCTCTACAAAGGACACGAACTCCCGTTTTTTATGGCTGCACAGTATTCCATGGTGTATAGGTGCCGTATTTTCTTTGTGAGAATGGAGAGGATTTCTTTCCATTGTTTCTCTCTCACAGCATCAAGTTTCTGGTAATGGTGGCACTTTCCTTCTTTTGCGTTGTGGCCAAAATGATATTTAAACCACTGGAGCTTTAAGAATTGTATTTCTTTCTGGACTTTCTTTTTTAAAAATGTCTCATAATACAGCATTCTTTAGTGGAAATCCTTATGTATGTTTATCATGGTTTAGAGTAATGCAGTCAGTTATGAATAGTTTTAAATTTAATGATCTTTTTTATCCTTGATTTCATCTTAAGATAATCATTTAATTATCTTCTCATGGAAATTGATATTCAGAAAGACCAAGTCGGTATTACTTAAAATTGGAAACAGTAAAGGCCAGGCGTGGTGACTCACACCTGTAATCCCAGCACTTTGGGAGGTGCGGGTGGATCATCTGAGGTCAGGAGTTCAAGACCAGCCTGGCCAACATGGTGAAACCCTATCACTACTAAAATATAAAAATTAACCAAGTATGGTGGCACATGCCTGTAATCCTGCTACTCGAGAGGCTGACATATAAGAATTGTTTGAACCCAGCAGGCAGAGGTTACAGTGGGCTTAGATCGCACCACTACACTCCAGCTTGGGTGACTCTCTCTCTCAAAAAAAAAAAATTGGAAACAGTAACCAGAAATAGTAGAATATGATTGCACCACACGATTCATTTCCAGACATTCTGACTTGCCTGCTTTTTACCTTCCCCTTGGCTGACACTTGCAAGGTCTCACATGCTTCTCTGCCTGCCTTCCAGTTGCCTCAGCTATTTGTGTTTCTTGGAGTGCTATTGGGACCCCGAAGCAAGTCTTCTCAACCTATCAGATCACTCTCTGTCACCCTGACATTTATTTTAGCCCCTTATATGAAACAGAAGCCCAACTGAAATACTAAATAGGAACTTTAAGTGGAATATATTCTGGATATACTCAGAGAGTTCTTCTCTTACAAAATCAAAAATTGAATTTGACACATGAAGTATAGTTAGGCCATGTTTTGAAAAGCTGCAGCAATATTTCTCAGGAAGTTAGTAAAAAAAATTGTTTTTACTAACAATTAAACAATTTAACATTGTTTAAAAATAAAAAATTAAAAGCTTCACCGAAAGCATCATATGCTCAATTTTCTCTTGGAAGAAATTCTTGTTACTGCTTAAAGCACCTATAAATAACGTAGATGAAACTTCGCATGTTATACTCCATTTCCTGTAATAGCAGTGGAGCTGCCCTCGCAGAATATAGACTTAAACTGTTTTGGCTTTATAATATAACGTGTCGTATGTGGTCCTGTTACAATGGCAAATTGTCTAATGTTAGAGTGAAATTTAATTAAAGGGTGTTTTTCTATGCCTGCCCACTGAATAGCTGTGTGGTCGTAAGCAATTTTCATAGACTCTGCTCGTTTGCAAAATCAACTTAGTAATAATATCTGCCCCTCCTGTCTTAAAGTGATTTCTTGATTTAAAAAATGAGATAACGTTATGTGAAAGTACTTGTGAGGTAAGAGTGCTATGTAAGGGCAAGGTCTTACTGTTGTGTCCTGTTAACTTTTAACTTCTTTTCTCTTACCACAAAAATATATGCTACAGGCTGATTTCATTCAGTTGGTGAACTCTTTCTTCAAAACCACCTAAACTTGGAATAAATGGTGATAAACTTTCCTTATATTTATTTTCCCAACTCACAGCTTAAACTGGAAGGAAAAAGTGTATAAGATTCACATTTACCTGTTGACTTTAGTTATCCTTTTCCTAAAAGTTTATTCCTGTCTATCATCCTGCCCACTAAGAGTTTTGCATAAATCTCATGTAATGGTTCAACAAATGACTGGTGTAGACCGGGTCTGCTTCATCACTAAGTCACTTTATTATGAAACACTTAAAGTTGAACATCCGTATATAAAATGATGAAATAATGTTAAACAGTTTATACTTTCTAAGGCCAGGCTCAGTGGCTCATGCTTGTAATGCCAACACTTTGGGAGGCCAAGGCAGGTGGATTGAGCCCAGGAGTCTGAGACCAGCCTGGGCAACATGGAAAAGCCTGACTCTACAAAAAAACACAAAAACTACAAAAAAAATATAAAAAATAAAAGTAAATAAATAATTTTAAAATGTACACTTTCTGATCTGATGGTTTTCATGACTAACTCATTAGACTGCAATGAAAAATGAAATTAATAAAAATTCACAAAGCCATAAATAATGAGTTTAAAAATAAAGCCTGAATAAGCCATGATCCCCTTTACTTCCCTCTCCCCATTTTGTAAGCAGTTGGTGCTTGATTGATAAGCATGTCCAGCTGGGAAATAAAGGTCTGGCTTCTAATCCGTGTTTTACCAGACTGTGACCTTGGACAAGTCACGTAACTTCTGTATTTCAGCTTCCTCATTTCTAAAATGGAGTAATAATAGTACTTGTCCTACACACCTCATTGGGCAATTGTAGATAAAACAAGATTGTAGATAGGAATGTTTCAACTGCCCCCACCTCCAAAAGTGAAAGGTGGTTATATAGTTACCACATACAGTCCTTCTTGACAGCCCAGATCTGAAAGGCCACAAGACTGAAGAGTGAAAGAAACCCTGATTCTACCAACAAGGATGGGAAGGGAGTCTCTGTTAGCTCTTGGAGGAGGAAGAACGCATTCCCAGTGTTTAGATTTCTGAATCAAATTATGGAACACAGTTTCCCACAGAAATAACAGTCAGTGGCTGTGTTTCCAGACTAGCCAATAAAAAAGAAAAAAGAGATTTAACCACAAATAGTTCATCGTGATCCAGTTTCTATAAAGCTGTTAACAAAGCCTACTTGTAATAGGAATATTAGCTTGGTGTTTGCCTCAAGTATGTTAGAGGCCTTAGCCCAGGTCTGGATAACATAGTGAATCCACCTCTCTTCTAGCTTCCTCACTTATTTAATATTTGCACAAGCCTTGCTTAAGCCAGGTTTGTAAATATCGTCAGTTCATACTTCAGTCTACTGGCCCTTTGACTGAAATGCTTAAACCAACTTTCTTTCCCCCAGTGAAAGGGCGAGAAGCCCTTTCAGGTCCCCAGTCCCTTTAATGAGCACCAGTGACCTTACAAAGTTAGAAAAGGTGGTCGTTGTTGACTCTGAGCTTCAAGAAGATTAAGGGACTTGCTCAGATAGCTTGGTTAGTCTCAAGAGGTGAGACTTGAACCTCAGTGTTTTGACTTGTAAGTCAAGGCTCTCTTCGTGACGTTTCTGTTTCAAGGTGGATGCTATTCACTGAAATCACTTTGAGTTGTAGTTTTCAGTTGAGAGTAAGATGTTTTTAAGGGAGTCTTGGTTATAAAGTGTATTTATGATTTTGTACGTATCTTATTGTAAATTTCTCAAAGGTGACGTTTGGGGAAATTTAGTCTAAATAAAAATAAATAAATAATAAATAAATTAAATAAAAAGTGACTTCCCACACTGATGTGGCATGTGTTGGAGAGGGATTCTATCAAAATTAAAGAACTATTTGAAGGAAAGAATATTGTTATATGTAACGGTTATATTTAAAAAAGAAAAAACTTTTGAATAGCCAGCATTATTCACCCCTTTGAAGCCTAGCTAACATGTCTCCAGTGCTTGCGATGAGCCAGGCCATATTCAGTTATCTTTGGTTGAATAATTGTTTCCTTCTCGTCAGGTTAGCCTGCAGATTTGCTCATGATCAAGTCTTAGAAGTAGTGAGGGATAAGTTTCATGACAGAAGACAGTGATAAGGTCTGTATGTGGCATTATATGGGACTTATAAAAATGTTTCACTGAACAGTGAAAAGGATACTGCAATTAGAGTCAGAAAACCTAGCCTTCCCTTTGTTCCTCCCCTGCCTAACACTGTGACATTGGGTTAGTGACTTGTCCTCATAAACCTTCACTTTTTCTTATCTGTAAAAAGAGAACAATGATACCTCATAGGGCTGTGGCAAGGATTAAATGAAATAATTTAGGTAAAGTACTTAATTTAAGCCTTCAAAAGACATGAGGCCTCATGTAGTAGGCATTCAGAAAATATTAATTGCCTCTTTTCATCTTCATGCACAAGGTGGTTGTGAAATTAAATTGGAAACAGAATATGAAAGCCGGTTTAAAAATGCCTAAATGTCATTCTAATATAAGATGGTATTTTTTGATGACTGCTGCCTTCTTCAGCACTTCCAGAGTAAAATATGTGAAAGAATTAAGGAAACTGGATTATAATCAAGATCTGGATTTTACTGGGTGGTGATCATATCCAGAAACATAGTGGTTTGATGATATTATCTTACAGTGCCCTGTGAAATAGTATTAATCTATTTGCAGAGTTGGTGATCACACTGTGTCTCAGTTCCATCACCTGTTGTTTGGTTTGGAGAAGTTATTTAATCTCTCTAATCACTGATTATCAAAATTATATACATTATTTTCAAAAGTACTCCGTAGGTTATGAAGCATCTAAATGTTTTTATATTGTTTATTGTTCTAATTTATGTATAATACAGCAGGTTTTTGATTAGGCTTGTGATGGTTAGAATTTATTTTTATTTAGTCAGGAAATCTTTCTAAACGGAGGAGAATTAGACGGCAAAAGGCAGCTTAATAGGTGTGCGATAGTGGGAAGTAACTTCAAATATCAGGAAGCCACATTAATTATAGAGAAGGCAGTGCCAGAGAATTTGATAGGCTGCTAGATGGGAGTGAACAGAGCAGGTAACGGATAAAGAGCTTTAATAAACTGATGGAGTATTGGTAATTCCATAGTCTTGATTGTGTTGGGTGAGATGTGATAATAGGAAAAAGATTCAGCTTCATATCCTTCAATTGTCCTCTTTCTGGGCTATAGACATGTGGTATAGTGTAAAGACAAGGGATTTGAACTCAGACTTAGTATTTATTAGAAAACTCCTGGCATTTTGGAAGTTAATTCACAGATTTGAAAAAATGTTATGATCTCAAAATTGATATTTTTGCTTATGTTTTCAGTTACTGTAGTCATACTAAATAGGTTTTCTTGTTGTTGCTGTTGTTGTGGTTGTTGTTTTGGGTTTTTTGTTGTTGTTGTTTGGAGACAGAGTCTCAGTCTGTCACCCAGGCTGGAGTGCAGTGGCGCAGTCTTGGCCTAAAGAAACCTTCACCTTCCAAGAGATTCAAGAGATTCTCATACCTCCGCCTCCCAAGTAGCTGGGATTACAGGCGTGCACCACCACACCTGGCTAATTTTTATATATTTTTTTCTTTTC